AATATTGCAGCAGCAGAGAGAATAGCTCGAAGTGAGCGTATCGAGGTCGGCGATGTGGTCCTCGATGAAGGAGGGTAGGCGACTGCCCTTCTAGGATTGTGCCGAATTGCGTATACCATCAGAAACTTAGAATGCCTCGTATCATACCAAGTTGAGGCTACGTTTGTGTCGTGCCGCCGACTCATCTCACAATAGATATGAAACAGAATGATTCCTCCCTCCTTCCTTTAGCACGTTGGACAAGGACTTGCAATAGCCTTTCTAAGGGGTCTTAACCTTCAAGTCATTTTACTTACGGAAAACAGCAAAACGTCGAGATTGAAGGTGTAGAGTGGCGAGCGGTTACTCTTTCAGTCGTCTTCGTCGTGTCACAATTGACACAGTGAACAACTTTCCCTTGTCATCGTTGATGATGCCGCGAGCCTCCTCCGTCATCTCGGAGGCCTCGGCGGCGGCGGTGGCGGCCTCGGCTTTGGCCCCAGCAGAGGGGATGGACCTTCGATGTATCGGGGAGGTATGGTCGGATGGATTGGTCGTCGAGGACGACGCTGCAGAGGCTGCTTATGTTGCGACTGATATCAGATTTAGAGGAAATATCAGATACCGTAAGATGATAGCGAGCAGTTGTTGTTGTTGTTGTTATTGTTGTTGTTGTTGTTGTTGTTATTGTTATTGTTACTCAGGTCCCCTTCTGGTAACTCCTCAAGACGTCCGCCTCCACTTCGAATTGATACCAACGCGTGGGATAACACCACCGAGGCGAAACGCTATTATAAGCTTCGGCCTACCCCTCGGGACCTCTGGGATGGCTTTCCATAAAGCACTTACTGGAGGGAGTATGTCGAGCATGTTGGAGCAATAATGAAGAAAACGTATTGTTGCTAATTTGTTTTTGATGACGGTGTTTCTAGGATGTATACCCAGCCTTGTTTGTTCATTAGTTGAGTTCCTCCAACACGCGTATCTGCACCCTCTCACAACGCCAGCGGTTCGAGGCAAAAACCTGAATATTATTATCCTCTCGATGGAATCATCCAGCAGCATCAGTAGCTTACGTGCTAAACGCTACTGAGACTTGCCACTGTCCCTCCGACTAGCCTCCTCCGAGTGACCTAAGATTGAGAGGCTGTAAGTTGGAGTGGGTAGGCATGTACTCGTGGGCATAGCATTACCAGACCTCTTCGATGGCATGCAAGTGTCAAATGCAGGTTGTCATCCGAGATGGAACCTCGAGGTGAAACTATGAACATTCCTTATGGAAATAATAACCGACGGAAACCGTAGAAGTGATAATTTGTATTGAAACGAACGTTGTTTCGACCCGCCTAGGTGTGTTGCTTATTAGTCTATCTGTAGTCGGATTACCATCTCACGGCTAACTTCCTGAGCACTCGAAATAACTCAACCACAAGGTTAATTCACAACAGCATGCATACACACTAGATACAGCAACAACACAGATGAATTGGCCTTCGACTTATCATGATGGCATCTCATGCAGCGTCCGTTCCAGAAACTCGTCATGTTTCTGAATATGCGCTTGTTGTAGCCAGCCGAGACCATTTCTTTGATCCCATCTGTGGTTGAGCGTCTCACTGAATATGTTTAAGCATTGCATGTGGCTCAAGCCGGTTCCTTGTAGTTTGGGTAATAACTTCAATAACAGCTCCCTTCGGATGGGCAATAGTTTTTCGTACTCCTTGAAAGCGTCAGACGTATTGCCGGTGGCAACCACTTGTACATCTCCGAGCTGTATAGTAAGACGATCCAAAGCGTCATGGGTGAGTCGGGGATCTTGCCTGAGAACCACAAGCAAACTCTCTTTTTCTCTCTCTAGCATAAGCTAACAACCTGAATCCCACATTTCTGACATGTTATTCCATAGTATAAATGCACATATTTATTGTTCGTATCGGGCCTTACTCAAGCTGTATATACGACACTACCCTTCCTGAACATACCTGTAAGCCACGGAATAGGTCCAATGATGATCCTTCTCTGTCGATGTAAAAACAGTCTTCACTTCGGCGAGGCCCTCGGAACGTCCAGTTGATATAGTGAACTCCCAATGGGGATTGGCTGACACTCTGCATTGATTCCGACCAACGCTTTCGACAACTCCGTATATCTGAGAGAACAACTCCCATCGCCCTCATCATCATCATCATAACTGCTGCTTTTGTGCTACCTTTTGTTCGGTAAGGGGGATCGTGACGGGTCCCCCACCACCCAATACATTGCCTTTGTCATAGCGGAATTTACCCTGAAAGGCGAGTGAGGCCTATGTAGAGCTCCTCGACTTACTGGCTTTTCGCGACTCGGAACTGCTGACCCGTGCAGAGTTGCGGGGATGAGCAGCTTGATTAGGATATTCAAGTTGATCATAGAGAAGAGACGAATATGATGATGAGGATAATATTGTGCGACGGAATTCCCTTACAGGCCTTCTGTCGGGCGTGTTTACCGGGCGAATTCTGAGCAAGAAGTGTTACCTTCCTAGAAGCGCGGAAATCGACTTGACCGCCGTGCCAGTCATCTCGACTGAATCCCGACTCGGGATTCCCGAGTGTATAACATATTTACAGGCTTACAAGGGATGAAGCTCTGTATTACTCAGCCGCAGATGCCTGGGTTCGGTAGATACTAGCAGGTGAGGAGAAGAACAATGTGAATACCTTAATTCAGCCTCCTAACACAAAGAGAGCCGTTGTTTACCGACAAATTGTATAGGAGACACTACGAGTCGTCCTGAACTATAACATCCAAAACCGCACCCTGCGATTAACAATCATAGTGACATATGAATAAACATGTCACCTTTCGGATCCCCAACTGATCGGCAGCCCCGACGTCGGAGTATACACGACCGCCATAACTGAGACACGCCAACTCAGTTGCTCAACATTCACGCAATCCGGGTATAAGCTTGAATCAACCAGTTGCTTACATAACCACCTCAGCTATCTTTACAGTTATCATCCAGAGTCCAATTAATTGGTTCGGATGTAGCGTATGACTCATCATCGGTGGAATAGTCGTATAGACAAATGTTGCGGTCTAAGGTTAAACAAAGACAAGCGTTATGGTCGCTGGCAGTCCTTATCCAACGAGGATGTGAGGGAAGAGTGGTATATCAGTAGGCAGTTTCACAGCACTATGAGCATTATCAAGAAAGGGATAATTTCGTTGACCTCGTGGCGCAATGGAAGCGCGTCGGGTTTCCGGAGCCGAAGGTTACGGGTTCAAGTCCCGCCAGGGTTACATTAGAGTTCATTTGATGTTACATAGTTTGCCTTTATTAAAGGCGCCAAGGTTACGCACAGGATACCTGGGTTCCTTTACAGTGCTATCTATGTAAATAAATCGAGGAGAGGATCTGTGGTTCGATGTGACTCTGAACTCCTAACTAAACCACTGATTGGTAATCAGAAACGAAATCAATCTGAAACCCACCTCTCTCAGCCTCAGTACTAAAGCCCCCACCAACACAGATCAAAGTCTCTTGTACTCTCTGTGCCATTCGACTGTCTCGACAGAAGCCGGCCACTGGATGACGATAGTTTAGGTTCACTCTTAGCATCGAACGCAGGAGTGCCATTGGGATGAAATTCAAAGAGTTCAACATCGCTGCTGACCATGCAAGCCATGACATGTTTGTATTCCTCAATGGGAATCGAGTGAGATCATTAATTATCTGCTGCATCAGCTGCGGTGACCCGGAAAGTAGTGCCACTTGGCAGAGCATATTCACACACTCTTGCAGAGTATCGGTATGAAGCTTGGTAGAACGCATACTCACAAGGATTTTCATCGCTACTTCATGCACTGGAAGTTGGAGTGCCAAATCCGCTCGACAGAGCGCCATCGAAGCCATGAGAGCTTGGTAGTGATCTGATGGCTCAGAGAGACGCGACAATACGTCATCAGCAACTTGGTCACTCGGCCGACGATTGCAAGTGGTCATAAACCCAACCGAGGCGAACAGATCTTCCGTCGTCATCCCATCATACAATACGTCCAACTTAGCCATCGCGATCCTCCAAAGCTCTGCATGGTCTGAATTACACGCGAATAGGAAATGGACCAACGAGAGGAGAGCCTCGCCGTTGGGAATTATTCTATCCGGGTCTTGCTCGATACACGCCTCCACTTTACTCATGACTTCAACGGGAAAGTAACGCATTTTCACCAACTTCATAACCAACAAATGGAAGCTCCTTTGGTTCACTTTGGTCAAGTCAACAACATCTATAATAGTCCTCGCGAGGCTTTCAATCTCTCGAGTGGCCTTCCCCAAAGGATATCCCACCGACAGCGAGCCCAGTACGCCAATACGGTCCTCGCCACTCCCCGGCACTCTGCCGTCCATCGCCGCAACTGCGATCGATTTCCACAAAGTATTTGAGACTTTCTCCATGTAGACCAATGAGAACCCCAATGCCAACTGCTTTAGTTGAAGTAGATTCGATGATCGTGAAAGATCAACCTTGGTGATCAAAAAACCTTCCAACTGCGCAAACATATCATCGACCTCAACCGCTCCTATAACGTCTTGTGTTTGAGCGAGCCGTGCCAGAGATATACAACATATCGCAACACTGTGGACATCCCATTTAGAGCTGCTATTCATATCGGGTAATTTCAAGTAACGTATATGAGCTTGTTTAGAATGAGATCTCGCAAGAGCATTGAGGATAATAGCGGTCGCCTTACCGTCATCATTCGAGGATATTTCCTCGACGACCTTCCTCCAGATTGCCCCAACCCAGTCATCGTTACCTTCAGCATACATCCGTAATAGTTGTGCCCAACAATGTGCCGTAACATCGTCACGGTTCGTTATTTCCTCTCTGATGGTCTTATGAATATCTTCCTTCTCCAAGGGGACGAGCTGAGCAGCTTGCACTACCGATTTTACCGTCATCTTCGGCAATGAGATCGGCAAAGACTTCACGAGCTCTCTGGTCACCTGATATTGAGCAAATCCCTCAACCCGTTAGAGAACAGCACACCCAACCGGAAGGAGGTAGGTTCAAATCTCAGCCAAGGCTTTTCTTACACTATTAATATGCTTCCTCAGGCTGGAGTGTATCTTCTCCTTACTGCGCACTAATGCCGATACCAGCACTACTGCGTCATCGAGATCGAAGGACTGCCAATTCTTTTCAATGTGATCGAATAATACTCTATAAGCCTCTCTAGTGATAGAGGGTCTATGGACTGTCGAAGCAGACGACCACATTGCGAGCTCCTGAGGAGAAGGTGGCTATCGATCGGGCAAC